TGTTTACTCACTGCTGACCTTACATTGTAATTAAACATAATAATGCATATAATATAAATGAAAAATAAAAACAATAGATATCTGTAGACGACTTCATTAGAAAAATACTAGTTTGGCAATAACAAAGCTTATTTAGATGAAAACAAAAAAAAATCATGTTGGTTTGTCGAAAGTTTCGAACAAATTGTAATTTCGAAATGGTTATTTCTAATGGCGTATTCAGTTACCAACGACAGACACAATAATACACATTATATGTGAATATTTGTTTCCAAAAAACATTAAATATTCTGCCAGAAAAGCCTACAGTCTTTAAAGATATTATTCTAAGGTAATTATTTGAGTGATATAAGTGAATTACAGAAATAAACCTTAATAAAAACCTCCCCTCGAAAACAATAAAAATATGAAAAGATAACATCTTTTAACAAAAAAATCCTGTTGCTCGGTCGAAAGTTTCGAAAGAGTTGTAATTTGACATCATGAAGAATCCATAAAGTTTTGTACCAAGTTTAGAAAAATGGAAAATTTAGAAGTTTGACATGTAGCATTACAGACCTACAGGCATAAAATAATGGGCGTAAAAAAACCAAAATAATGTTTAATATGGGAGTACAAAAAACCACACAACCTATATAATGAGTATTAATTTAACATAAGATAATCATTATGATTATAATAAAGAAAAATCATATGTCGGTGATATTGTCCCAAGAGTAATATCAGCGAAAAACAAATATAAATTAAAACATCTTATGCGTCTGACAAAATCCTACAAACACAATAATGCACATAATAATATCGAAAAAACATTAAATATTCTGTCAGGAAAGCCTACAGTCTTTAAAGATATTATTCTAAGGTAATTATTTGAGTAATATAAGAGAATTACAGACCTAACGTCCATATAAAGTATTATGTTACCCAAAATTAAACATTCTGATCTTTGTAGGCGTTTATGACATGAGTGGTCTGTGTTGAGAGCCGGCTACCCAACCCTAACTCCCATTTAGGAAGGGGGAGGTAGGATATTCCCAAGTGCTCTGATCAACCGGAAGTGTTTACTCACTGCTGACCTTACATTTTAATAAACATAATCATGCACATAATATAAATGAAAAATAATAACAGCAGACGTCTGTAGACGACTTCATTAGAAAAATACTAGTTTGGCAATAACAAAGCTTATTTAGATGAAAACAAAAAAAAATCATGTTGGTTTGTCGAAAGTTTCGAACAAATTGTAATTTCGAAATGGTTATTTCTAATGGCGTATTCAGTTACCAACGACAAACACAATAATACACATTATATGTGAATATTTGTTTCCAAAAAACATTAAATATTCTGCCAGAAAAGCCTACAGTCTTTAAAGATATTATTCTAAGGTAATTATTTGAGTAATATAAGTGAATTACAGAAATAAACCTTAATAAAAACCTCCCCTCGAAAACAATAAAAATATGAAAAGATAACATCTTTTAACAAAAAAATCCTGTTGCTCGGTCGAAAGTTTCGAAAGAGTTGTAATTTGACATCATGAAGAATCCATAAAGTTTTATGTCCCAAGTATAGACAATGAAAATTTTTGAATGTTGACCTAACGTCCTTATAAAGTATTATGTTACCCCATATGAAACATTTTGATCTTTGTAGGCGTTTCGGACATCAGTGGTCAGTATTGAGAATCTATCGGAAGTGTTTACTCACTGCTGACCTTACATTGTAATTAAACATAATAATGCATATAATATAAATGAAAAATAAAAACAATAGATATCTGTAGACAATTTCATTAGAAAAAAAATAGTTTGGCAATAACAAAGCTTATTTAGATGAAAACAAAAAAAATCACGTTGGTTTGTCGAAAGATTCGAACAAATTGTAATTTCGAAATGGTTATTTCTAATGGCGTATTCAGTTACCAACGACAAACACAATAATACACATTATATGTGAATATTTGTTTCCAAAAAACATTAAATATTCTGCCAGAAAAGCCTACAGTCTTTAAAGATATTATTCTAAGGTAATTATTTGAGTAATATAAGTGAATTACAGAAATAAACCTTAATAAAAACCTCCCCTCGAAAACAATAAAAATATGAAAAGATAACATCTTTTAACAAAAAAATCCTGTTGCTCGGTCGAAAGTTTCGAAAGAGTTGTAATTTGACATGAAGAATCCATAAAGTTTTATGTCCCAAGTATAGACAATGAAAAATTTTGAATGTTGACCTAACGTCCTTATAAAGTATTATGTTACCCCATATGAAACATTTTGATCTTTGTAGGCGTTTCGGACATCAGTGATCAGTATTGAGAATCTATCGGAAGTGTTTACTCACTGCTGACCTTACATTGTAATTAAACATAATAATGCATATAATATAAATGAAAAATAAAAACAATAGATATCTGTAGACGACTTCATTAGAAAACTACTAGTTTGGCAATAACAAGCTTATTTAGATAAATTGATGACCATTGGCGATATATAACAATAGTTAAATCCAAATTGCAAACGAACCCCATCAATATTTGAATCAAAATGTTACAGTATAGAAACATTAGCTAACAAGTCTTGGAAACACCTTTACATAGAGAAGTGATTTGATAGACTTTTAGTGAGGATATCGGTTTAAACTGCAGGACGAAACAACCCCCAAATGTTATGTTCCAAAGAAACGAAGCAAACTGCCTATATCTATGTATGAAGAAACTGTACGGACAGGAGAAGGTGTTTATTTTGTGTATGTATGAAGAAACTGCCTGTCCCATCTGACCGTCGGTGTGCTTTCTCCCGATAGAGATAAACATATTTGGTGTGATCTTTGTTGATGAAGTTATGGTGTTTATTTTGTGAATGTATGAAGAAACTGTCCGTCCCATCTGACCGTCGGTATGTTTTCTCCCGATAGAGATAAACATATTTGGTGTGATCTTTGTTGATGAAGTTATGGTGTTTATTTTGTGTATATATGAAGAAACTGTCCATCCCATCTGACCGTCGGTATGTTTTCTCCCGATAGAGATAAACATATTTGTTGTGATCTTTGTTGATGAAGTTATGACATGTTAGTCTCGGCATAACAGATGGACTCGGTCCCTCAAGTAGTTTTACACCCCAAGCCTAACTAAAAGTCAATGTTTTCAAGGGGTCCGTATTTTAAAATGTGTTTCAAACTTGTCAACATAATGTTCTTTACTGTACCTACGTGTATTAGACAGACCCATGAAAATTTAGAAAATATATATAGTACATGCAGTACATACATAAACCTGCTATTGCCAATCTAGAATTTCCCTGTTAATGTTCCATTTCCCAGTCGAGTTCCTGGAACCATAAACGGCCGCTTGACATCCATCCAAGTCACAGCTGGAAAAAAGGTAAAATGTGACAATTAAATGGTCCACATGAACAATTTCCTTTTAAAAAGGACATAGTTGATAATCTGCCCATCTGTACAACACGATTAATATTTCAGCAAATCTGAAAAGTTTTCGAAAACTACCAACAGACATGCTGTATTGTTTTGCGACTATAGAAAATCTCATCTTGCAGCTGAAGTATGATTTGTTCACAGTAAATTCATCTAAGAACTACCATTGAATGTACCTATGGCGACCAAGTTATACGTTCAGTTGAAATGTTACAGTTCTGAAGGCGTAATTTCTATTTCCACGAATGTCTCAGTCAATATGTATAATTTGATTCAAAGACCACCATATTATGTAATTAAGCATATCGCATGGACTTTAATTTGAATTATTTATAAATAAATGCTATTAATACCTCCCCTGTCTGTGTCCTATAACCGTGGTAATCATCATCGTATTGATCATTCGGCGCCTTAACATTGTTGTGGTCCTGTAAAATATACGATTATATATTTTGTGTTTATAACATCGGGCACTATCTTGGCATGCTAATAGACACATTTCAACAGCCAAAGACAAACTTGCAGCCTAGAGGAACTAGAGAAGTTGTAATTAGCAAGTATGTATGGTTTTTAAATGTTCTAAAATAAGGATCCAATAGTGAATTATTAGACATACACAATATGTAATATATTTGAACTCTTTTAACACAATCAGCTACCCTCATTCGTGAAATTTCTAATTGTGGACATCAATTTGAAGACACCGAACATTTTTTTATTGAAATGCTCCTTATGTTCAGATGCCCGAAATAAAACAATAAATAATTTATCGACTATTCATCGAAACACTCAATATTTTTAAAACTGTCCATTCGTTTTTCGAAATCACCAGACGGTTCCAGGGACAACTATAAACACTCATCATTGTAAATATATTCTCACTATAATCATACTTGCACGTGTACATTGATTATTAATATCTAAAATGTAAATGCATGTATCTATATCTGACAGGGAGAGGGGTTTAATATAGGCTATGTCTGTTCCCCAATCCCTATTCAGATACAGATCTGAATAAAATATTGCTTATAAAAAAAAACATTTCTTTGAAATACCACTACCATTTCGGTTCATCGTGTTACGTTATACTATACGACATTTTAAGTTCTAAATAAAACATAATGTTTGAAATTTTATATTACCGTAATAACACTTGCGATTTTGTTTTAGAAATAGAAAATATTGATATTAATGCTTACCTCATCAATTGCATTGACTGTACAATACCTCCATGTATAATATGCTCTGCGTCCCCACGATCATGTAAGAGAGGAGGATTATTCAGTTTCACGTTCTGTACATTCTAAATTTCCAGACTGCATCCAATTACAGTATATGTACTTTAACCGGCGCCGTCACTATTTTTAAGGAAAAAAAAATATATTTATGTTTAGTTGATTCTGGCTAAACCCTTTATTTGTTTTCTATCAAACTTACAATAACAATCCTGTGAAATAGAATTGTTTCAAATTAGAATCTGTTCACACAATCTGTTTACTTTTGTCTTGTCTTATATTACCAAAGAATATTAAAATCTAACTCACCTGTATCCGTAAACTCTAGACCCCACTATCAACAATACATCTAAGTTTATCATAGAAACACGTTATACAAGGTTATCTTTACTGGACTCATGAGAAATTTGCAATTTACGTTAACGGCATTAAAAATCTAAGATAAAGAAAATATCAGAATATATTAAATATAGCACCCCTTACATAGCAAGCAAATGCAGCGAAAAACGTGCACCCCCCCCCCCCCCAAAAAAAAAAAACAAACAAAAAACAACCCAAAAAACAAAAATATTAGTTGCCTAAAGAAGATGTAGGATTAGTCGATGCCATATTAATATATCCCAATTTAATTACTCCCCATGTCTATAACTTTCAACCAAAAAAAACTAATAATACATCATGGAAAACATCACATGATATTTACAAACGAATCTGGTGCACAAGCCAAGCTTATACAACAACAAGCCAAAATATAAAGACAGGCCCAGTATAAGATAAATAATAACGTGTGGACCTCTATTATATCATAAACTTCTTGTCTCCTATAGCGTAATTTGAAAATAAAACCCCATGAATTAATATTAGCGTTAACTCTTTTCCTAAACTCAAATCAATATGCGTATCAATTGACAAATTCATTGGTGTTGAATGGTTATATTTACAAATGTCAGTAACATTGGACTAGACCTGTGTCATAGGTCAGAGTAGCCAGATATAGGACGGGAACTTTTTCTATGTAGTTTGACGAATATATTGTAATATGGTGAAGATCTTTTATTTAAACAAATGTTGCTTACCCACAGAACAACTACCATGAAGCCATCGTCTGTAATATGTAATAGAAATATGGATAAATGTTATTAAATAAACAGTTTAATTCTGTGTGAAAGACTCTAGCCTGTATAGCAATCTAAAATTTTATGACGCTATGCCAAAGAAATACAAACTTTCATTATTCATGTGATGGAGGCGAAAAATCAGAATATTCTTCACATTTTGTCTCTTGATTTGCATACCTTGTGAAAGCTGGAACATCCATGTCCACCTCGTCCCAGAAATCCAAGCGGAGTTCTCCACACCCCGTTTTCGTCCCCGGGTCGGCCTCGCTCCACCATCTCCATCGAGTCTTGGATCGTACGAAAGTGCGCAGTGACTGGACGAGAGATCGGGCTCAACAATCCCCCGCCTTCCGACCGCTTCGTTGCCTTCTAGAGAGAGAACCGTGGGCTGAATGATCCCCTGCCTTCCATTCTCCACCGTCTCGAGTCTTGGATCGTACGAAAGTGCGCAGTGACTGGACGAGAGATCGGGCTCAACAATCCCCCGCCTTCCGACCGCTTCGTTGCCTTCTAGAGAGAAAACCGTGGGCTAAATGATCCCCTGCCTTCCATTCTCCACCGTCTCGGGTCTTGGATCGTACGAAAGTGCGCAGTGACTGGACGAGAGATCGGGCTCAACAATCCCCCGCCTTCCGACCGCTTCGTTGCCTTCTAGAGAGAGAACCGTGGGCTAAATGATCCCCTGCCTTCCATTCTCCACCGTCTCGGGTCTTGGATCGTACGAAAGTGCGCAGTGACTGGACGAGAGATCGGGCTCAACAATCCCCCGCCTTCCGACCGCTTCGTTGCCTTCTAGAGAGAACCGTGGGCTAAATGATGCCCTGCCTTCCATTCTCCACCGTCTCGAGTCTTGGATCGTACGAAAGTGCGCAGTGACTGGACGAGAGATCGGGCTCAACAATCCCCCGCCTTCCGACCGCTTCGTTGCCTTCTAGAGAGAGAACCGTGGGCTAAATGATGCCCTGCCTTCCATTCTCCACCGTCTCGAGTCTTGGATCGTACGAAAGTGCGCAGTGACTGGACGAGAGATCGGGCTCAACAATCCCCCGCCTTCCGACCGCTTCGTTGCCTTCTAGAGAGAGAACCGTGGGCTAAATGATCCCCTGCCTTCCATTCTCCACCGTCTCGAGTCTTGGATCGTACGAAAGTGCGCAGTGACTGGACGAGAGATCGGGCTCAACAATCCCCCGCCTTCCGACCGCTTCGTTGCCTTCGAGAGAGAGAGAGAACCGTGGCTAAACGATCCCCTACCTACCGTTCTCGCTCCACCGTCTCGCGTCTTGGATCGTACGAAAGTGTGCGGTGACTGGACGAGTGATCGGGCTCAACGATCCCCCGCCTTCCGACCGCTTCGCTGCCTGTGACTTTACATGAGCATTAACTCCTCAGCACTGTACTCAGAGGGAATCCGATGTACCACGCATTTCTCACAGCTCGTCCACATCGTCCCGGAGAGCCAAGCGGAGTTCTCCGGTTTTCGTGACCGTGATAGTCGGTAGGCAGTACACCGACCTTTTATTTCTCGACCATACCTTCTCTAATCTTAAATCTATGGGTCTCCTCCACCCATAGGCTATAAGTTTGAGAACTTCTCAAAGGAACCAGACACCTTTTATTTCTCGACCATACCTTCTCAAATCTTAAATCTATGGGTCTCCTCCATACCATAGGTTATAAGTTTGAGAACTTCTCACGCCCGTGAGAGTGTCAAAGGAACCAGACACCTTTTATTTCTCGACCATATCTTCTCAAATCTTAAATCTATGGGTCTCCTCCATACCATAGGGTATAAGTTTGAGAACTTCTCACGCCCGTGAGAGTGTCAAAGGAACCAGACACCTTTTATTTCTCGACCATATCTTCTCAAATCTTAAAACTATGGGTCTCCTCCACACCATAGACTATAAGTTTGAGAACTTCTCACGCCCGTGAGAGTGTCAAAGGAACCAGACACCTTTTATTTCTCGACCATACCTTGCCTAATCTTAAATCTATGGGTCTCCTCCACAGCATAGGATTTAAGTTTGAGATCTTCCATTAACTCCTCAGCACTGCACTCAAGAGGGAATGCCAGGTACCACCCATTTCCGCGAGCTGTGACCAGGCTCCGAGGAGTTGTCGTCCGCGGGTCGGCCTCGCTCCACCGTCTCCATCAGTCTTGGATCGTACGAAAGTGCGCGGTGACTGGACGAGAGATCGGGCTCAACAATCCCCCGCCTTCCGACCGCTTCGTTGCCTTCTAGAGAGAACCGTGGGCTAAATGATCCCCTGCCTTCCATTCTCCACCGTCTCGAGTCTTGGATCGTACGAAAGTGCGCAGTGACTGGACGAGAGATCGGGCTCAACAATCCCCCGCCTTCCGACCGCTTCGTTGCCTTCTAGAGAGAGAACCGTGGGCTAAATGATCCCCTGCCTTCCATTCTCCACCGTCTCGAGTCTTGGATCGTACGAAAGTGCGCAGTGACTGGACGAGAGATCGGGCTCAACAATCCCCCGCCTTCCGACCGCTTCGTTGCCTTCTAGAGAGAGAACCGTGGGCTAAATGATCCCCTGCCTTCCATTCTCCACCGTCTCGAGTCTTGGATCGTACGAAAGTGCGCAGTGACTGGACGAGAGATCGGGCTCAACAATCCCCCGCCTTCCGACCGCTTCGTTGCCTTCTAGAGAGAGAACCGTGGGCTGAATGATCCCCTGCCTTCCATTCTCCACCGTCTCGAGTCTTGGATCGTACGAAAGTGCGCAGTGACTGGACGAGAGATCGGGCTCAACAATCCCCCGCCTTCCGACCGCTTCGTTGCCTTCTAGAGAGAGAACCGTGGGCTAAATGATCCCCTGCCTTCCATTCTCCACCGTCTCGGGTCTTGGATCGTACGAAAGTGCGCAGTGACTGGACGAGAGATCGGGCTCAACAATCCCCCGCCTTCCGACCGCTTCGTTGCCTTCTAGAGAGAACCGTGGGCTAAATGATCCCCTGCCTTCCAAAGGAACCAGACACCTTTTATTTCTCGACCATATCTTCTCAAATCTTAAATCTATTGGTCTCCTCCATACCATAGGGTATAAGTTTGAGAACTTCTCACGCCCGTGAGAGTGTCAAAGGAACCAGACACCTTTTATTTCTCGACCATACCTTCTCAAATCTTAAATCTATGGGTCTCCTCCATACCATAGGGTATAAGTTTGAGAACTTCTCACGCCCGTGAGAGTGTCAAAGGAACCAGACACCTTTTATTTCTCGACCATATCTTCTCAAATCTTAAAACTATGGGTCTCCTCCACACCATAGACTATAAGTTTGAGAACTTCTCACGCCCGTGAGAGTGTCAAAGGAACCAGACACCTTTTATTTCTCGACCATACCTTGCCTAATCTTAAATCTATGGGTCTCCTCCACACCATAGGATTTAAGTTTGAGATCTTCCATTAACTCCTCAGCACTGCACTCAAGAGGGAATGCCAGGTACCACCCATTTCCGCGAGCTGTGACCAGGCTCCGAGGAGTTGTCGTCCGCGGGTCGGCCTCGCTCCACCGTCTCCATCAGTCTTGGATCGTACGAAAGTGCGCGGTGACTGGACGAGAGATCGGGCTAAACGATCCCCCGCCTTCCGACCGCTTCGTTGCCTTCGAGAGAGAGAGAGAGAGAGAGAGAGAGAGAGAGAGAGAGAGAGAGAGAGAGAACGTGGGCCGAAGAAGAGAGAAGAAAGGGCATGCCACAAGAGATCCGAATGGGGGACGCAGTCTCAGGTGCCATCCTTCCCCTAGAGCAAGCGGCGCGACAATGGTGACGAGAAGGGTAACCGGGAGCTGCATGAACACACTCTCTAGCCTTCACTCAACTGCCGTGTACGCACCGAGCAAGAGGAGACCGGCCAACCTTCCACTGCGCCTCACTCGTCTCAAGAAACTTGCCCAACCAAATTCTCCGCCAAAGTTCCCTACTGCCCCGCCGAGGACCGGCTGAGCCACATCAGCTTAGCATACTATCACGATTGTTTCAAGCTTGGGCTACAATCAGGATTGTTTCATGCCTTAGGAAACTATCGCCAATTTCGCCAAGCCAGATCAGCTTAGCATACTATCTTGATTGTTTCAAGGCAAGAAAGCCTGGGAAACTATCAAGATTGTGTCAAGCCAGAACAGGTTAGGATACTATCGACCATATTTACAAAGCCAGAACTGTTGAGCTACATTCAAAATTTATAAAGCCAGAACCATTTGGCATATAATCAACCCTTTCCAAGCCAGGACAGCTTAGGATACCATCGCCCGCCATTTGTATCAACCACGTAAAGCTTGGGCTACAATCAGGATTGTTTCATGCCTTAGGAAACTATCGCCAATTTCGCCAAGCCAGATCAGCTTAGCATACTATCAGGATTGTTTCAAGGCAAGAAAGCATGGGGAAACTATCAAGATTGTGTCAAGCCAGAACAGGTTATGATACTATCGACCATATTTACCAAGGCAGAATTGTTGAGCTACATTCAACATTTATAAAGCGAGAACCATTTGGCATATAATCAACCCTTTCCAAGCCAGGACAGCTTAGGATACCATCGCCCGCCATTTGTATCAACCACGTAAAGCTTGGGCTACAATCAGGATTGTTTCATGCCTTAGGAAACTATCGCCAATTTCGCCAAGCCAGATCAGCTTAGCATACTATCAGGATTGTTTCAAGGCAAGAAAGCATGGGAAACTATCAAGATTGTGTCAAGCCAGAACAGGTTAGGATACTATCGACCATATTTACTAAGGCAGAACTGTTGAGCTACATTCAACATTTATAAAGCGAGAACCATTTGGCATATAATCAACCCTTTCCAATCCGTGACAGCTTAGGATACCATCGCCCGCCATTTGTATCAACCACGTAAACCTTTGGCTACAATCAGGATTGTTTCATGCCTTAGGAAACTATCGCCAATTTCGCCAAGCCAGATCAGCTTAGCATACTATCAGGATTGTTTCAAGGCAAGAAAGCCTGGGAAACTATCAAGATTGTGTCAAGCCAGAACAGGTTAGGATACTATCGACCATATTTACAAAGCCAGAACTGTTGAGCTACATTCAAAATTTATAAAGCCAGAACCATTTGGCATATAATCAACCCTTTCCAAGCCAGGACAGCTTAGGATACCATCGCCCGCCATTTGTATCAACCACGTAAAGCTTGGGCTACAATCAGGATTGTTTCATGCCTTAGGAAACTATCGCCAATTTCGCCAAGCCAGATCAGCTTAGCATACTATCAGGATTGTTTCAAGGCAAGAAAGCATGGGGAAACTATCAAGATTGTGTCAAGCCAGAACAGGTTATGATACTATCGACCATATTTACCAAGGCAGAACTGTTGAGCTACATTCAACATTTATAAAGCGAGAACCATTTGGCATATAATCAACCCTTTCCAAGCCAGGACAGCTTAGGATACCATCGCCCGCCATTTGTATCAACCACGTAAAGCTTGGGCTACAATCAGGATTGTTTCATGCCTTAGGAAACTATCGCCAATTTCGCCAAGCCAGATCAGCTTAGCATACTATCAGGATTGTTTCAAGGCAAGAAAGCATGGGAAACTATCAAGATTGTGTCAAGCCAGAACAGGTTAGGATACTATCGACCATATTTACCAAGGCAGAACTGTTGAGCTACATTCAACATTTATAAAGCGAGAACCATTTGGCATATAATCAACCCTTTCCAAGCCAGGACAGCTTAGGATACCATCGCCCGCCATTTGTATCAACCACGTAAAGCTTGGGCTACAATCAGGATTGTTTCATGCCTTAGGAAACTATCGCCAATTTCGCCAAGCCAGATCAGCTTAGCATACTATCAGGATTGTTTCATCGCAAGAAAGCATGGGGAAACTATCAAGATTGTGTCAAGCCAGAACAGGTTATGATACTATCGACCATATTTACCAAGGCAGAACTGTTGAGCTACATTCAACATTTATAAAGCGAGAACCATTTGGCATATAATCAACCCTTTCCAAGCCAGGACAGCTTAGGATACCATCGCCCGCCATTTGTATCAACCACGTAAAGCTTGGGCTACAATCAGGATTGTTTCATGCCTTAGGAAACTATCGCCAATTTCGCCAAGCCAGATCAGCTTAGCATACTATCAGGATTGTTTCAAGGCAAGAAAGCATGGGAAACTATCAAGATTGTGTCAAGCCAGAACAGGTTAGGATACTATCGACCATATTTACCAAGGCAGAACTGTTGAGCTACATTCAACATTTATAAAGCGAGAACCATTTGGCATATAATCAACCCTTTCCAATCCGTGACAGCTTAGGATACCATCGCCCGCCATTTGTATCAACCACGTAAACCTTTGGCTACAATCAGGATTGTTTCATGCCTTAGGAAACTATCGCCAATTTCGCCCAAGCCAGATCAGCTTAGCATACTATCAGGATTGTTTCAAGGCAAGAAAGCATGGGAAACTATCAAGATTGTGTCAAGCCAGAACAGGTTAGGATACTATCGACCATATTTACCAAGGCAGAACTGTTGAGCTACATTCAACATTTATAAAGCGAGAACCATTTGGCATATAATCAACCCTTTCCAAGCCAGGACAGCTTAGGATACCATCGCCCGCCATTTGTATCAACCACGTAAAGCCTGGGCTACAATCAGGATTGTTTCATGCCTTAGGAAACTATCGCCAATTTCGCCAAGCCAGATCAGCTTAGCATACTATCAGGATTGTTTCAAGCCAAGAAAGCATGGGAAACTATCAAGATTGTGTCAAGCCAGAACAGGTTATGATACTATCGACCATATTTACCAAGGCAGAACTGTTGAGCCACATTCACCATTTATAAAGCCAGAACCATTTGGGATATAATCAACCCTTTCCAAGCCAGGACAACTTAGGATACCATCGTCCGCCATTTTTATCAAGCCCGCAAGGCTTGGGCTACAATCAGTATTATTTCACGCCTTAGGAAAATATCGCCCAATTTCACCAAGCCAGATGAGCTTAGCATACTATCAGCATTGTTTAAGGCAGGAAAGCATGGGATACTATCAGGATTGTTTTAATCCAGGACTGTTTAGGATATTTTTGACCGTCTTTACCAAGCCAGAACGGATGAGCTTACATTCAACAGTTATAAAGCCAGAACAACCTTTACCAAGTCAGGATAGCCCAGGATACCATCGCCCGCCATTTTTGAATATGGAACTTCCTACTTTCTATTTGGATTAGGGTTAGGTATTTAAGATTAAAACCTATAAATTCAGGGTGAGGGGTTAAAGATTAAAACCAATGAGTCCCATTTTCACTATACAAGAAAAGGAGTCACAACATCCATACTGCCACAAACTTAATTTGTGGAAAACACTGAAATTGTTATTTACTTTCTGTGGTGCCACAACAATGAAATATTGAGACACTTAAATGGGAGTCACATCAAACATGAATGCCCAACACTCATGTTCAGATCTTTCAGGAATTAAGGGCAAGGTAAAGTTACACCATTTTGTCACAACACCTGAAAAGATGAAAAAATTATTTCAAAAACAAGAACAATGGCTCTTGGATACAAAAGTCTACAATAAAATACATTACTCACAGACCATTTTTTTTGCTACCACTCGCCCTTTAAACTCATCTTGTGATCACTGAGGTGTTAATTTATGGTGAAAATATCCAGGGGAGATCACGGTGTCTAAGTGGTTAAGACGCTGGCTCGCTAGTCTGGAGGTCGGGTGTTTGATCCCTGCATTGGCCGAGGAAGTTCATCCACATTTTCTGGCGTGGTTCCCCCCTAGTCAGTGATGCACGACAAGGACACATTGGCGTGCACGTAAAAGATCCCTTGGGGGTTGAAATTCGATATAAGAGTAGACCGTAGTGCCGCTGTCCGGGCAAAATTTACCTCATAGCACACTGTATGGCATATGCCTGTCTTCATTTGTCCAGTTCGGAGCAAAACAGTAGGACGTTAAACCCCATTTCATTTTGCAAAATGTCCCACAATCGCGGTTATACAAGAATTATTTGAACTTTTTGACGTTACTTATCACACGCAACTATTGTCCCATGGTGTGTACAACAACCATCAAGACAAATGTACACATGCATGTACTCGCATGTGCTTTAGCCATTTTGGTATTTCAAGTCCTCCTTCTCCACACTCCAGTCATGCCCTGTTGACCTATCACTGGAGCATGAAAAATCGCCCGGTTGATCGAACCTCCTAACCGAATACAAATTGTTGGAGATCCATTATTTACACACCTATATATATTTTTTAAAGCCCCAACCATTGCATTTTCTTTCTGATCACCCATTAAATATAATTCGTACTTTCCAAGACAGCGCAAATGACCTTCATCCTTTGCAGACTATAATTTGCTTTTATATGTGTCATATTATGTGGCATAGTGTTTGACATATATCAGTAAGAGTATGTTGCAAATATTATAATTTGCTGGTAAAGTGTAACTTATGGAATTTAAATTGTCTTTGTCGGAACTCTATTTTGTGAATATTTTGAGAGAAAGGAGAAAATTTGTAAGTTACTGTGGCCACAGATTAAAAATATTTATACTCTGTGCTGTGGCATCATGTAGGTAATCCGAGCCTTCGATAAATAAAATGAATTGAAAGTAGTCTATTTTTAGTAACCAATTTCTTTGCTCAAAATAACCAGTAGCTGCCAGGCAGGATACGCCCACATTTTGCAAGGGATGGATAGAGAACAAGCTAAAAACAAACGGGATTTTTTGTACAATCAGGGGCAATAATCCAGAAAATTATGGTCTGAAATCAAGGGCCATAATTCTGGAAGTTACAATCCGATATGCGCGGATATCGATAGAAACAGATAATTGGGTTATAAACTTACATTTCAAGTTTCAACAAAATCGGATAAAAATTGTGACCTCTATAGGGTCCACAACCTTGATATACCATATTTTTGCGCCATTTCACGAACTTCGAACTCCGCCATTCTTAGGGTGTAACGGTGATATATGAAAACTTTTTTTAAAATCAGATAAAATTATGCACCCTAGGGTCCAGAAGCTAAAAACGTGATTTTTCGTACAGAGGCCATAATTCATGAAGTTTCGATCCGATACATGCCAATATCGAAAGCAGTCGAGATCTTTTGGTGATAAACCTATATTTCAAGTTTCGTCAAAATCGGATAAGAATTGTGACCTGTAGAGTGTCCACAAACAAATGGTGGACGGACGGATGTCCAGACGGACAGGGGCGACAACAATATATGTCCACATGAAAATGTGGGCGTATAAAAATACAGTTTTTGCCAAAATGAGACTTAAACTTCCGGTGATACTACAGGCAAAATAATGTGAAAAATGACGCATGCAAACTTGCCTATTTATCGTCAACTGCGCAAGGAACCGGGATCTTTGGGTTATAAACTTACATTTCAAGTTTCAACAAAATCGGATAAAAATTCTGATCTCTATAGGGTCCACAACCTTGATGTACCATATTTTAACGCTATTTGAGAACGAACGGCGGCCATTTTGTCTGTCAATTTGGGGCCGATTTTCGAAGTCCAGTCGTCCTTAGGGTGTAACGGTGATATAATACGGTTTTTTAAATCGGATAAAAATTATGACCTCTATAGGGTCTACAAGCTAAAAACGCGATTTTACGTAAAATCAGGGGCCATAATTCATGAATTTACGGTCCGATATGCGTGATTATCAAAAGGAACCGAGATCTTTGGGTTATAAACTTGCATTTCAAGTTTCAACAAAATCGGATAAAAATTCTGATCTCTATAGGGTCCACAACCTTGATGTACCATATTTTAACGCTATTTGAGAACGAACGGCGGCCATTTTGTCTGTCAATTTGGGTCCGATTTTCGAAGTCCAGTCGTCCTTAGGGTGTAACGGTGATATAATACGGTTTTTTAAATCGGATAAAAATTATGACCTCTATAGGGTCTACAAGCTAAAAACGCGATTTTACGTAAAATCAGGGGCCATAATTCATGAATTTACGGTCCGATATGCGTGATTATCAAAAGGAACCGAGATCTTTGGGTTATAAACTTACATTTCAAGTTTCAACAAAATTGGATAAAAATTGTGACCTCCAAAGTGTCCACAACCTTGATATATCATATTTTTAGGCTATTTGAGTACGAGGGGCTGCCATTTTGTTGGTCAGTTTTGGTACGATTTTTACGAAATTGGAACTCAACTATACTGAGGTTGTAATGGTGGTGATATATTCAAAGGTTTTGTTTTAAATCGGATAAAAATTATGACTGCTATCACTGAGAACTACTAAGTGGTCAATCTGTGCACAGCCCTTATAGAAAATTATGTCTTGGGCGTTATCTCTACGTCTATCGAAAGAAAATTAATTTTCCGACTATTACTCGGCATTACCGCGTTAAAACTGTAAATAAGGTGTGTTAATTAACGAGGGTGAAAAACTGTCTGAGAGGTGAGTTAATTAACGATAGGGGTGAAAAACTGTGCGACGGCGCGTTTTCAGTAGAGGTGTGTTAATTAACCGACCGGTAAAAAATGAATGTCAATGTTGTGTATTGTTTAATTGGCGAGTATAATCAAGGACCAACAGGCTTTATCTGACACGTACGTGTTAAATCAAAATTTGGGAAGTAAAACTGTTTTACCGTGCGATTTATCATTCGACCGTGTGTTTTACGTAGGTCTTTGTATAATTAAAGACAGGTCTTTAGATAGGCGTGTGTGCTCGCTATGAACTACGTTGAACCCTTTTGTATTGCATACTATAAGTTTCATTTAATGAAATAAAAATATGGGCCTTAATCTATCGTATACGGAAAGGCGAATATTATGTTGTCATTTATCAATACCGACCAGTCAGAGCCCAATTTGAATATCCACGGGAATATAGAGAGTAAATTCAGCAAAAACAACCGAACTATATTTCTGCTTTATTATTAAAAGGCGCGCACTCACCGTTTGAAATATATTAAATTTATAAAAACGTGCCACGATGCGTAGATTGAGCATCTTACCTTCAATAGCAATATCCATAAAACAGAAATCTCCATATTGATAAATAATACGGCACAACAAACCGAACAGTGGTAATTTCCACACAAATGATATATTTAAACTAAAATTACTTTAGCTTTTCACGTTTCATTACACTATTTGCATATTGTCCGACAGTTTTGGCCCAATTTTCATGAAATTCGAACTCAACAAACATCACCGTGAAAAGGTGATATATTCAAACGTTTTTTTAAATCAGGTAAGAATTGTGACCTCTAGAGGGTCCGCAAGCTAAAAACACGATTTTTCATACAATCAGGGGCCATAATTCAGGAAGTTACGATTCAATATGCCCAAATATCGAAAGGGTTATAAACATGCATTTCAAGTTTCATCAAAATCATATCAAAATTGTGACCTCTAGATAGTCCACAACTTCGATATAACAGATGTTTACACTAATTGTGTACGAGGGGCGGCCATTTTCTCCAGCAGTTTTGGTCAGATTTTCATGAAATTCGAACTCATCTAATTTTACGGAGTAACGGTGATATATCTGAACGTTTTTTTTTTAAATCAGATAAAAATTATGACCTCTATAGGGTCCACAAGCTAAATACGAAATTTTTCGTACAATCACGGGCCATAATTCAGGAAGTTACGTTCAGGTATATGCAATTACCGAATGGAACCAAATCATTGGATAAAAATTGTGACCTCTATAGGGTCCACAAGCCAAAACGCGATTTTTCGAAGAATCAGGGGCCATAATCCATATCGCAAGGAACGGAGATCTTAGTGAGATAAACCTATATTTCAAGTTTCGTTGAAATCGGATAGAAATTGTGAACTGTAGAGTGTCTACAAACAATTGTGGACGTCCGGACGGACAAGGCTAGACAATATACAATCACATGAAAATGTGGGCGTATAAAAACTTAGGACGTCACTCTAACAAAAAATCTAGGTCAAATTTCTACTGCAACAGTCGATTGCGAATAGTGAATGCTTTTCAAAAATATCAAACTATTGACATTCGGATAAAAATTGTAGGACGAGTAGGATTTTGAAGATTGACTTACATTTTCAAAATAGTGTCACTTTCGGTGAATTTTAACATGAGATTTCTCTAAAAAGTTGAAAGACGACTCGTACTAACAAATATTTTTAAATAAGGCAACATTAAAGATACATTATGGGAGATTAGATAAAGAGCTGGAAGTTCTCAATATAATAGTTAACCATTTTTCAAGAGATGGATAGAGAACAAACTAAACAAAAAGCGATTTTTCGTAACATCAAGGGCCATAATTCAAGAAGGTACGATCAGATATGTGCGAATATCGACAGGAACCAAGATCGTTGGGTTATAAACATGCATTTCAAGTTTCATTAAAATCCGATCAAAATTGTGACCTCCAAAGGGTTCACAACCTTGATATACCAGATGTTTACACTATTTGCGTCGAGGGGTAGGCCATTTTGTCTGGCAGTTTTCGTCCGATTTTCA